TGGAGCATGACTTGGACGCTTCCGTTGCTGAGGTGGCCGTGGTGGACCTGATCATGAACGAGCCTGCTTTGGTCGGCATCGAGAGGGAGCACGTTGTGGAGACGCTCGCCAGCGTCGGGTTCACCCCCGAGTGGCAGGCCAGCCCCGTCGCTGCGCTCTCCGGAGGGTGGAAGATGAAGCTCGCGCTCGCCCGTGCCATGCTCATGAAGGCGGATATCCTGCTGCTCGATGAGCCCACCAACCATCTCGACGTGAAGAACGTGCAGTGGCTGTGCGACTACCTCACCGGCCTCAAGGACGTGTCGTGCATCATCGTGTCTCACGACTCCGGCTTCCTCGATAACGTCTGCACCGACATCATCCACTACGAGAACCGCAAGCTGAAGCAGTACCGCGGCAACCTGAGCAAGTTCGTGGAGCAGAAGCCCGAGGCGAAGGTGTACTATGAGCTGGCCGAGGCTACCATCAAGTTCACGTTCCCCGAGCCCGGGTTCCTCGAGGGTGTCAAGACCAAGGACAAGGCCATTCTCAAGATGACGCGCGTGTCGTTCCAGTACCCTGGCGCTACCAAGATTGCCGTGGCGGACGTGACGGTTCAGTGCTCGCTGTCTTCCCGCGTGGCCGTCATCGGCCCTAACGGTGCCGGCAAGTCGACGCTCATCAAGCTTCTCACCGGCGAGCTCGAGGCTACGGTAAGCAATGTCCACTTCATCCAAAATTTCAAGTCACACGTTCAATTCGATCATGCACAAGTTTTGGTTTCCGTCTCTTCACCTTGTTTCTACGTGGATGATTGCTTGTTTGCTTTCCCTTCCTCCCACCTTCGCTTTCCTTTTTTACCGAGCTTCCTTATTAACCGTTGTCCCTTACCGCTATTTACTCTCGCTCACCCCATGCAGAACGGCACGTGCTGGAAGCACCCCAACCTGCGCGTCGCCTACGTGGCGCAGCACGCGTTCCACCACGTGGAGCAGCACCTGGACATGACGCCCAACGAGTACATCCGGTGGCGTTACGCCTTCGGCGAGGATCGCGAGGAGCAGGACAAGGTGTCGCGTAAGATCAAGGAGGACGAGGAGAAGAAGATGGCTGAGAAGGTAGTCATTGATGGCACCAAGCGCATCGTCGACTGCCTGCTGTCCCGTCGCAAGCTCAAGAAGGGCTACGAGTACGAGGTGCAGTGGAAGGGTGGCGTTGAGACTACGTGGCTGCCACGTGCCACGCTCGAGGAGATGGGCTTCGTGAAGCTGGTGAACGAAATCGACGCCAAGGAGGCTGCTGCGCAGGGCCTCATCACGCGCCCCCTCACCATCGCCATGGTGCAGAAGCATCTCGAGGAGTTCGGCCTGGAGTCGGAGTTCGGAACCCACAGTCGCATCCGCGGTCTGTCTGGTGGTCAGAAGGTGAAGCTCGTGCTGGCTGGTGCCATGTGGAACTGCCCGCACATGCTGGTGCTCGATGAGCCAACTAACTACCTGGATCGCGACTCGCTCGGCGCGCTCGCGAACGCTATCAAGGAGTACGGAGGTGGTGTGGTGATGATTTCGCATAACAGCGAGTTCACGTCAGCTCTGTGCCCTGAGGTGTGGAGAGTGGAGGCCGGTCTGTTGACGCCCGAGGGTGCCCCCGCGTGGTTGAACAACGCGAAGCTGGAGCTGAAGAAGCAGGCGGATGAGATGATCGACGCGTTCGGCAACACTGTGAAGGTGGTGCAGCAGAAGAAGCAGCTTAGCCGCAAGGAGCTCAAGGCCAAGGAGAAGGCTCGCAAGGCCAGAATCGCGGCCGGTGAGGCCGTGAGCGACGAGGAGGACTACTAGATGAAGCCTTATGAACACTCCGCGCTGGTCCGGTCCGCGCTGGGCCGGTCTGTTCCGCTTCGCTCGGTTGTCCGTCCTGTGGTGCTGTGAGGGTTCCTTCTGATACTGCTGCATTCACCGCTGCTGCTATGGTGGCCGTGGGTGTGCATGAGGGGTGAGATCTTCACGATATATGCCTTTCGACTGCAGCTAACGCCGAAATGCTCTGAGGTCCCCTTGATTGGGGCTCTCGGTGTTGCCGCGAGCGCAGCCCCCTTGAACATAACCATTAGCCTACATAACAGTGTTCTTAATGAGATGCTGTAGTTATTCTTTGTTTCCTTCGAATGAAATATATAAATTTCTACCTATCTTCAATATTGCCTGTCCCAACACCCTGCCTGCATGCTTCCTCTCCCATCTACCAGCATGCGTACTCCTCTCCCATCTCCCAGCGTACTTCCTCACGTCTCCCAGCGTGCTTGCTCCTCTCCTATCTCCTGGCATGCTTCTCTATCTCCCAGCATGCGTGCTCCTCTCCCATCTCCCAGCATGAATGCTCCTCCCCCTTGCAGCATGTTGGCATGGCACCTCTCCCATCTCCCATCATAGTTCCTCTTCTGGCATGTCTATCTCATATCTCCCAGTGCTAAGGGGATCTGGGAAATATGGGAGGGGTTGGCGGGGTGAATTTGCGGTATGTGCACTTGTGTTCAGCTTGATTATTAAAAAACACCCTTCCCCCTTTCCACCCTTTTCAAAACACAAGTAAAAACTTGCTTTTCTTAGCTGGCATGTTCCTCATCTCCTTGCTTGTTCTGGCATGTTTCACCACATGCATGATAATATTTTGTTCAACTTCTCACTGCAGGTTGTACCTTCTAAGTTGTTCACGTCATGTTCGGCAAAACTGGTACAGAACCGTAAATCAACTTTCCAGCAGCAGAATAGCACGATAAGTTTTATTAGCATTACAGCAGGCTAACTATACATTCTGCAGGATGTGCATGTAAACCGCATCAAACACTCTCTAGTCACCATGCCACTTTGAGTAAATGGCACTAGGCAAGGTAAGAAAGGGATTGTACAGAGGAGCCGTTGAGGGGGCTAAGAAGCTGGGGCTGGAGTTGCGGGTGGTGTAAATGGAGCTGCTGTGTTCATTTGAGGAGGAGCAGCTGAGGGCAGTGGCAATAATGCAAGTGTAGGAATAGGGGGGGAAGTTAGAATGGCTGAACCACTAGGTGGTGAGGGGGAGGATGGAGGAGAAGGTGATGCAGTGGAGAGTGAGGGAGCAGTGGAGTCTGGGGGAGTTGGTGGGAAGAGGTCTGGTAGAGGAGGAGGTGACGAGGCTGGTGCAGGCGGAGGTGGGAGGGATGGAGGTGGGGAAGGAGGGAAAGGTGGTGGGGTTGGTGGGGGGGAAGGTGGTGGGGGTGGTGGGGGAGGAGGGGAGGGTGGGGAGACTGGAGGTGGGGAAGGAGGGGAGGGCGGGGGTGGTGGTGGGGGGGAAGGAGGGGAAGGCGGGGGTGATGGAGGTGGGAAGGGTGGAGGGGTTGGTGGCCTGGATGGAGGCGATGGTGGAGGGGAAGGAGGGGGCGAAGGTGGGCGTGGAGGGGATGGGGGAGGATGGGGAGGAGGAGGGGACGGCAGTGTCAGAATGTTATTCTCTAGCCTGTAGTGGGGTGCTCTATAGCGAGTACAACCCATCTAGGGTTTGCTATATGTATCCTCATTGCTGCTAGTGAAAAACTCCTCTTTTGCCTAAACTTCTCTTGCCTAGCTAGGACTTACCTAGCTATGGCTCCTAACTCTACCTACTGTCTTCACATGGTATCAGAGCACATACGCTCCTGGCCTGTGGGCCCTCCTACTGCTTCCGCTGCCCTACGCTGTGTCGCGCGCCCCGTGGTGCGCGACCTCTTATTTTTCATCCCACCGCGCGCTCGGGGCGCGCGGCGGTTTTCTGCCCGCCGTGCACCCCGAGGCGCGCGCCGGTTTACTGCTGTGGGGGAGCCAGCGCGCGCCCCGCCCGTCCGTCGCGGAGCCCTGGGGAGCACGCGCGGCCCCCCGCCCTGCCCGTCGCGGCGCGCTTGGGAGCCCGCGAGCCCCCCGTCCGTCCGTCGCGACGCCCTCGGGAGCCCGCGAGCGCCCCGCCCGTCGGTCGCGACGCACTGGGGAGCCAGCGGGCGCCCTGCGTGGTCGTCGCGACGTCCTGGGGAGGCCGCGCGCGCCCCGTCAGCTCGTCGCGGCGCCCTCGGGAGGCCGCGCGCGCCCCGCCAGGCCGTCGCGGCGCCCTGGGGAGCCGCGCGCGCGACCCCCCCGCCCGTCCGTCGCGGCGCCCAGGGGAGCAGCGCGCGCCACGCCCCTTCCCTCGCCCCACCCGTCCGTTCTGGCGCCCTAGAGGCGCGCGCCTTCCCCCCCCTCTCCGTCCCCCGCGCTCCTGCCCCTATCCCACCCGTTTTAGGGTTTGGGGGTGAGGAGTGTGGGGGTGGTGGTTGTGGGGGTGTCCGTTGTGCGCGCCGTGCCCTTCTCCTCCTCCTCCTTTGTCTCCCACTGCTGCAGCTGTCGCTGAGGGGGGTGGATGAGTGGGAGACTGGGGTTTAGGGTTTTAGGGGGGTGCGTGGGAGTGGAGCTAGGGTTTGAGCAGTGGGTGTGTGTCGAGGGTGTGGGGCAGTTGGAGGAGGTTGTGTGGAGGTACCTGTCGTGTCGCCTGCAGCGCCTGTAGTCCGTCGCCCTTGCTTCGGTAGCCAGTGAGCCTGCTGCACCAGTCGCCAGTGGGTCCGTTGCTCCTGCCGCTCTTCTATAGCCGCCGAGCCAGTTACTCCAGTAGTCCGTCGCCCTTGCTTCGGTAGCCTCTGAGTCAGCCGCTCCTGTGCCCGTGCCTCTGCAACTTCAGTCGTTGCCTCCCATCTTCTCTACCTCCACAGCTCCTCCTCCTCCTCACTTGCCCGCTGTGATTAGCTCTAGCTTTGCTTACCTTTTTGAACTCCTGCTCTATACCTGCTTGCTCATTGTACTGATTACACCCCACTTTGGCTATGGGGGTGTGTCAGAATGTTATTCTCTAGCCTGTAGTGGGGTGCTCTATAGCGAGTACAACCCATCTAGGGTTTGCTATATGTATCCTCATTGCTGCTAGTGAAAAACTCCTCTTTTGCCTAAACTTCTCTTGCCTAGCTAGGACTTACCTAGCTATGGCTCCTAACTCTACCTACTGTCTTCACAGGCGGGCGCGGCGGGGAGGGGGGAGGTGATGGCGGAGGCGGGGGCGAGGGAAGTGGCGGAAGGATCATGATCTCTTCATAATGTGGGCCGGCGTTCTGCTTGATCACACGGTCTGACCGGCTGGTGTTGGACAGCAGAGACAGCACGTAGGGGAACAATGGTGCTGCTTGCACCCACCCCCCTGCTCCCACTCCTCCCGCGCCGGATTTCACTCTCCCCCACTCGTGAAACGTGGCTCCGTCGAGAAGGTAGTCTCCCACAGAGCGTATCACCACCGTTGGATCGAAATCCGGATCCAGCGGGCCCATCCCGCCGCGCCACGTGGTCACCTCCAGTGGAAGCTTCCCTGTACTGCCCGGCCCCTGCTGCTGCTGCAATCTGCTGACGAATTGATGTCCGGGACGAAAGAAATTGCTCTCAGACCACACGGTGGCGCCTCGTCGGGCGGCAAGGCAGTACCCCGACCACGAGGTGTAGAGGTTGTTCGCCACGTGGCAGACGCCACGTCGACAGAGCGGCTGCATGGAGGTGGATGCGTCGAACCAGTTGCGGAATATGGTGACCCGCGAGGTGGCGTCCGCTGGATCCGCGTCGTGGATTCCCATCTGCAGACGACGCAAAAACACACATGATTGCGTCAATCGCGAATGGTCATCATAATGATTCTAGGTCGCTTTCTGAAGTGCTGAGAGATAAAGCGCAGAACAGTGACGTGACGTGCGCGGTTGAAAGAGGTGAAAGAATGACCTGAATGACGCGCGAGGCGAGGAGCGAGTTGCGGATGTAGTTGTTGGAGATGGTCATGTCCGTGGTGCCATGCCACCCCTCGATGATCGCCCCCGCCGCGTCGTACAGGCTGCAGTGGTCGATCCACACGCGCTTGCACCCGTACAGCGTTATCAGACTGCCGCGCGGCTGTCCCGCCACTGCCATGCCAACGCGCACGCACGAAGGAAGGGAGTTTGATGTGAGTAGTGAGCGTTTGTGAGACGCCTGGCGAAATCGCAAAGCGAATTTGGAAGGAAATGAGTCGGAAAAAACAATGACGAAACGACAGTAAATCGTGCGGTATTCCGAGGCGAAGGTCGCGCGCGCATCATCGCTCTCCCTTTCCCCCCGCGTCGTTATCCGCGCGTGGCGCGCACCTTCGACGTTGTGGATGATGACGTCGCGCGCGCCCGACAGCACGAGGGTCCCGTTGAGAATGCGCACTTGCGCGCCCTGGCCGTCGATGGTGACGAAGGACGGCACGAAGAGGTCGGCCTGCAGCCACACGTCCATGGAAGCGTCGAACGCGATGTACGCGCCGTCCGTGAGATACTGCAGCGCCCAGCGGAGCGATCCCACGGGGACTTGCGACACGTCCGCGGAGTCGAAGCTCGTTGTTACCACGTACCGCGGCTACGCGGAATGAGAGAGAGAGAGATTAGTCACATATTATAAATCATATTTTATAATGTATGTGCAAAGAAACGACTGCGATCGGATCTTGATGCTAGAGGTAAAGTAAATCTTACCCGGAATCGTCCACCGTTGATTCTTGCCGACGCGGCATAGCCCATGGAGCAAGCGGTGAGATCCAGCGCGTCGTACTGGCAGTCGCGCGACTCCGCAACTGCCGGCGAGCTTGGCGACGGAGGTGGCGCTCGCGTCGCCGTCGCCGTCGACGCGGGAGGAGATTTCGGATCATCTGTATCAACGGCATTCCACGCCGCAGCTGCGCCTTGATCGTACGGGATGCCTTCCTTCAAGGAAAGAATCGGTCTTGACTTGAACCAAGGTGCTGGCGGAGTCACGCTGTATTGATCCGGCGGCTGAGGCTCAGCGGATGCTTGAGAGACGAGTGACTGAAGAATGACGCCCAGCAGAAGGAATATTGGGACGTTCGCCATCCTTCGTGCGCAAAAATGCACGGCAGGTCGTCGCAGAAGCAGATTGACGCCACGGGAGAGGACCATTCGTACGGCTACTACTACACGCTTTCCTTCATGCTTGGTACCAGCCAAAGTAGACAGATAAGCCTGCAGATCTCAGCATACAATCGCAATCGAAACCAGGACTTTCAGCGTGGAGAAGGTGGGATTCAAAGCTACCCTTATGTAGGGATCCCTCGGCCCCGCCAAGACGCTCAAAGTTTCAGTCACCTCTACCCAGCATGTGTCATGAATGCCGTGGAGAATTGGAGAGGTGTGATGCTAGATAAAATTCTAGGCGGGGAGGCGTGAATCCAAGGGTCTGGTGGTGCCAACGAGTGGCAGCAAGTCAGGGTGGGATGGGAGATGACAGGAATCGAACCGCATGTTGGCGGGGAGAGCGCTTCGGTTGGCGGCGGTTCTGGTGTGGTGTGGTGATCGCGGTTTTTGAAAAACGAGTGAACTTCAACACTTACAGCACTTCTTCGAAGAATGAATGGCAATAACATCAATTTGCAAAACTAATATATACACATCTTTGGATGTATACATTGTACAGTGTATGTTTTTGTTTCTTTGGATGTATACATTGTACAGTATATGTTTTTGTTAACAGAAAATAATATACTATTTCATCAATCCTTCTCATGAATATCACATACAATTTGTACATGTGACTAGAATCATCACGATGCTGTTAGTATATCATTATCAAATATGATATTATTTGAATGGTCTTGTATAGGATTGCATGATTGATCGCGACAGTATAGCAACGGAGGTGAATGAGATTGGTGGGGATGTCAGTAGATCTGCACTGTGGATGCCCGATTGATCCTACGGGGGGTTACAGGCGCGTTCGCGCAGGGGGTTATGGGCGCACAAACCCGCTTCGCAAACAAGCCCTTTTATCCCAATGGTCTAGTGGTTGGGATTCTGACATGATATCAGGGCGGTCTCGGGTTCGAATCTCGGTGTATGCACATGTAGGCCGTTGCCACTGTGCTGAGTCCTGGGCCTCCCAGTGTGGGGGGGTGTAAGCAGATCTGCACTGTGGATGCCCGATTGATCATACGGGGGGTTACATGCGCGTTCGCCTGGGGGGTTATTGGCTCACAAACACGCTACACAAACAAGCCCTTTTCTCCCAATGGTCTAGTGGTTGGGATTCTGACAAGGGATCCTGTAAGTACAAGGAGAATTGTCTCAAGAAGTATGCAGAACGGAATGATTGATTAAGAAAGAAATACCTCAGCGGAAATGGGTCGTCGCCCGGCAGAGCTCGCTGCATGCGGGCAAAAAAAATAAAACCCATTCGGGCATGCATTCGGTCAGGGAGGCATCAACCATAAACACTTGGAGGTATGGTATTTAGGGTTGAGGCTCCCTCGGATGGCATGCCATCCGATAGGGTTTTAGTTTTTTTCTGCCCAGGGCAGGAGGTCGTCAGGTCGTCGGAGGGTCGACGGAGCCGACGACCCATTTCCGCTGAGAGATTCGGAAAGGTGGTTGGTACAAATGCAAACACTAACAACCTATACTCTCTAATGCATGAATCACTACACCATAGAACACACAAATATATATATTTAACACACCCCCGTAAGCTAAGTGAGGGATAGCAAGAGAGAGAAATAAACACACATGGTCACAAGTGTCAAAAAATATTCGCATGTTCTTATTTCTGCTAGGCTACAGTGAGGTGCTCAGTATAGAGTACAACCCTAGTTAGTTTTTCATAATTGTATCTCCCTGTTGCTAGTCATTCACCATTCCTCCACAGATGATTCTGACATTGTTTCAGAGCAGGAAACCTGTTAAGTTTTAGGGCCCTCCGATAGTTACGCTCGTTCCTGCCCGAAGCGCCCTTGTGCTGTCTTGCCCTGCTCGTACAGTGTCGCGCTGCCTGCCCTAGCGCACTCCCCTGCTGCTGCCTGCGCGTCGCGCCCTGCAGCTTGCACATCGCGCCTTGCTGCAGCCTGCGCGTCGTCGCCTGTCGCGGCGCCCCGGGGGCCCACGCGTCCCCCCCTCCCGTCGCCCGTCGTGGCGCCCTCGGGGGCCCGTGCGCGGCCCCCTCCCGTCGTCCGTCGTGGCGCCCTCGGGGGCCGCGCGTCGCCCCCTCCCGTCGCCCGACTTGGCGCCCTCGGGGGCCCGCGCGGCCCCCACTCCTATCGCCCGTCAAGGCGCCCTCGGGGGGCCCGCGCGCTGCCCCTCCTGGAGCCCGCGAGCCGCCCCTGCAGCCCACGTGCCGCCCCTGCAGCCCGCGAGCCGCCCGTGCCGCCTCCTTTCCACGTACAACTGCGGGGTGGCGGGTATGGGGGTGACGGGTGTGTGCACTGTCCCCTGCTCCTCCTCCTTCTCCGACTCCTACTGCTGCAGCTGCCGCTGAGGGGGTTGGATGTGTGGGAGCCGAAGGAGTGGTCCTAGGGGGGTGTGTCGTGGGAGTGAAGCTAGGGGTGCAGCAGGGGGTGTGAACGGGAGTTTTGGGACAGTTAAGGGGAGGTTGGGAGGAGGCAGCCGTCGTGTCGCCAGCAGCGCCAGTAGTCCAGAGGCTACTATCTCCGGTAGCCCAGCGAGCCTGCTACGCCAGTCGCCCGTGGGTCCATTGCTCCTGCCGCTCAGAGATAGCCACGGAGCCAGTTACTCCAGTAGTCCGGAGGCTACAATCTCTGGTAGCCACCGTGCGCGCTGCTCCTGTTACCCGTATATCTGCGGCTTCACCCGTCGCCTCCTATCTCCACTCCTCTCACAGTCCCTCCTCCTCCTCACTTACCGTCTGTGATTGCCTCTAGCTTTGCTTATATTTGTGAACTATTGCTCTGCTTGCTTATTGTGCTGATTACACCCCACTTTGGCTATGGGGGTGTGTAGGAATGTTATATTTGTCTAGCCTGCAGTGGGGTACTCAATAGCGAGTACAGCCCAATTTAGGGTTTGCTATATGTACTCAACTGCCTGCTAGTGAAACCTCTCTGCTCTGTTTCATTCATTCCTTCACTATTCTGATAGAGGCGAACGAGGCTGCTCTCCCAAGTCAGTCAGCAGATAGGTGAGCCAGCGTAGCTCCTGTGCAGCCATGGCTCCTGCGTAGATCTCAGCCTCAAAACTGGAGCTGAGAACCGAAGACGAGCGGGTAGACTGCCAGGAGATAGAGCCGGAACAGAGGCTGAAGGTGTAACCCTGTGACGACCGCTGCGTAGCTGAGTTGTTAGCCCAACAAGCGTCCGCGTGACCAGTGAGGACAACTGGACCCCGTCCTCCAAGCACGAGCCCCATGCCCGACGTACTGCACAAGTAATGCAGTACCCTCTTCGCAGCATCCCAGTGCACCTTTTGGTGCCTACCGGGAGCCACGTAGCGAGCCAAGAGGCTGAGAGGGTACACGAGGTCAGGTCGAGTGCACGTCATCAAGTACATGAGGCAACCCACAAGCTCTGGGTACGGACCACTCGGCTCTACAGACTCATCCGAGGGTGGAGCTGAGAGCGAGTGGCCGGTAGACAGAAGAGTGGGCTGTGGCGAGGAGAACTGGAAGCCGAAGCGCTGAAGGACCTGGTGCACCATGTGTGATTGAGTCAGAGTGATGGTGCGCCGTGCTCTGTCCCGGGTGATCTGCAAGCCACGATAGCTGCGCAGTTCACCCAGGTCAGTGCAGGTGTGTCTCTTCTGCAGTTCCGACTTCACAAGGGTCAGTGCCTCAGTGTCATCAGTGGCAAAGATGAGGTCGTCTACGTACACGAGGACGTAGAACGGCGGCAACGAGGTGTCGGTGCGTAGAAAATGCGATGGGTCAGCAGTAGAAGGAGCGAAACCAAGAGCCGCAAGTGTAGTCCTCAGTGTGTCGTGCCACTCGCGAGGCGCCTGGAAAAGAACGTAGACTTGCCGCCGGAGGCTCCACTGGGTACCTGCACGAAACGACCCTGTGAAGCCAGGTGGGCGGCGCAGCCAGATCTCATCGTGCAGGCTGCCCTGCAAGAAAGCTGTACTGAAGTCCAGAGAGTGCAGCTCGTAGTCACGCTGAGCAGCGACGTGCAGCAACACCCGAAGAGTAGTCATCTTCAGGGTGGGAGAGAAGGTCTAAAAGTAGTCGACTCCCTATCACTGACTGAAGCCTCGAGCAACGTAACGCGCCTTGAAGGCAGGCGGAGAACCCGGCGGCCGCTTCACCTTGAAAATCCACATGCCATCGACTATGTTCGCCCCAGGTGGGGGAACCATGTCGACGTAGGTGCCTGTGGACTTCCAGGATGCCATCTCGGCATCCATGGCTGCCTGCCACTGAGAGGAGTAAGGACCCGTAATTGCCTCTGCGTAAGAGCGCAGGGTCGGGATGTCTGGTGCATTCGGGTCTCCCTCAGGGGCAAGCAGCATGGAAGCGAAACGAGGTACAGCAGCTGCAAGACACTCAAAGTTCTCCTGACTGTCCTCAAGGATGTCCGTGCCAAGAGCAAACTCACCCCCGACGGACGGAGGACTGGCAGACTCAGACTCTGCAACAAGAGCAGTGGCGTAGTCTAGACGACAGGCAGCAGCAAAGTCAAGCAGCTCAGCAACAAGAGCAGACGCAGCAGCAGACTCAAAGGAAGGGTCAGTGACAGCAGTGGCAAGGAGATGAGCGACAGTAGGACTGGCAGCACGAGCGTGGTCAG